AGTCTGACAGATCAGTTATCCTGTTTACAGCTTATATACAGTCTGATAGATCAGTTATCCTGTTTACAGCTTATATACAGTCTGATAGATCAGTTATCCTGTTTACAGCTTATATACAGTCTGATAGATCGGTTATCCTGTGTAGAACTTATACACAATGTCAGAGATTAGTTATCCAATTTACATGAATTACATCAGCTGCTCCCAGTGTAGGGGCTAAACTGATGTCTGATTCTGATGACCTTTCAGGGGAATCATAAACATGGCTTCCTCTGCTAACCACCTCACTAATTCAAAGAGTGGACAGATGTTTCTGGACCCCAGCTTAGCACTGCTGAACCGTCGCCAGCGGCGTCTGATCCGGCAGAACCCTGGCGTGCTCTCCTCCATCGTGGCCGGCCTGCAGACTGCCATCAAGGAGTGCCAGTGGCAGTTTCGCAACCGGCGGTGGAACTGCCCAACCACGCAGGGCCCTGCTATCTTCGGCAAAATCGTCAGCCGGGGTGAGCCCATAAGGACAAATCTAGTCACTGTCCTTGACGTCTGAAGCATCTCCCAGAGTGCAGAGGGTGTGAGGTTAGGGTAGATGGTGGGGTGGTCTCTCTCTCACTCATACACACACACAACTGGGAAGTCATCATCTCAGCAGGGCAGCTTGTCTTTTGGATCGAATGAATGAAGTGACGTCCCCCTGTGGGAAACCATAAAATCACAAAGAATCACGAACCATGCAGAGCCAGAGCCAGAGCCAGAGCCAGCGCTGAACTCAGGGCTGAGAAGCTGCCAGGGGATATCAATGCCGCTGGAGCATGGGCACAGATAAGGGAAACAAAGAGCTCCAGAACCGTTACGGGGGCAAAAATACAAACAGCATTTCCTTTTTATTCCAGAATTAATCTCAAAGCCTTTTCTAATTTCAGTAAACAACAAAAAAAAAAAATATATATATATATATATTGTGGTTAGATGCAACATGGTGGGGTTCAAACAAGGGTTAGCCTAAGGAAAAAGCCACTAAAATCTGAGAATTTTAAAAGACTTTTAATGTAACCCTTCGCTTGTAAATTAACTGAATTGACTTCATAAGAAATGGAAAAGTTTTCATCCACCCATTGAACTTCTAACCACTTATACTGGTCAGGCTACTTCTGACTTGGCGTAAAACCCTGTGTTTCATGGCCCTGTCGGCAAAGCATGCCCCATTTTTTAATGTAAAATCCATACACCCGTGTAATGGCTTATCAGGATATTGGGGGGGGCGACCAGGCTGAGGATGCATGCTGGATTCATTGCTACAGGGTACATGCCCCCACAGAGCAGATGCAGGATTCAAACCCCCAATCCTGCAAGAAACAAGCAACAATGTGACCGACTGAGCCACCACACTATAGCAGCCAACACCCTTACAGAGCATATTCACACTAACAAATTACAAATGTAAAAATATCCTTTTATTTATGCTTGCGTTTATTTATATTTCTGTTTGTTCAGGTTGTCGGGAGACGGCGTTCATCTTTGCGATCACCAGCGCGGGGGTCATGCACGCGGTGGCACGCTCCTGCTCAGAGGGGACCATCGAGACCTGCACGTGTGACCATCGCTGGCCCGGACCCGGGGGCCCAGACTGGCACTGGGGGGGCTGCAGCGACAACGTGGAGTTCGGCCGCGCTTTCAGCCGGGAGCTGGCAGACTCCAGCGAGAGAGGCAGCGACCTGCGCTACCTCACCAACCTGCACAACAACGAGGCGGGCAGGGCGGTAAGAAGAGCTGCACACCTGCCGGGGTCCTCACAGGCCCCATGCTGGCACTATGGGATAAGAGTGGAACAAAGGAAGCTTCCAGAAATAAATACATTTCCTGTTAATGTAATAGTACTTATTTACACTAGTGGCCAAAACTGTGGAAACACTCAATTTTTAGAAATTTCAGAGCATTATTCCAGTTACTCCAGTTACTTATTCAATCGTCCAAAGTATATTTGTAAACATTCTTTTATTGTTTGTAAACATTACCGCCAGTACTCGTGTAGTAATTTTTAAAGCGTAATGCCAAAAATGCTAGGTGTTTCTACAATTTTGGTCACTAGTGTATATGTAACTTGAAGTTAGTATACTTTATAGATTATTGGAGCATCCAAATATAAGAGATATCTATGGATTCGGTTATTTTATTCCTTTTTGCCCTCATAGCGTAATTTTTATCGGTTACGTCAACATGGTCATGTGACACACACAGAATGCGTGTAACATGCTCCCTGCAGACGGTGGAATCCGGGATGCGGCGGGAATGCAAATGCCACGGCATGTCAGGCTCCTGCTCACTGCGGACCTGCTGGATGCGGCTTCCAGGCCTCCGCACCGTCAGCGACCTGCTGAAGGACCGCTTCGATGGAGCCTCGTGTGTCGTCTACGCCAACCGCGGCAGCAACCGCGGCAGCAACCGGGCCTCCAACAGGGCCGGCCCGCACCACCTGGAGCCCGAGGACCCCGCCCACAAGCCTCCCTCAGTCGGGGACCTGGTCTACTTCGAGAAGTCGCCCAGTTTCTGCTCGCGTAACAGGAAAACAGGCAGCCTGGGTACTCTGGGGCGGAGCTGCAACAGCTCGTCGGCAGGGCTGGACGGGTGCGAGCTGCTATGCTGTGGGCGGGGCTACAGGGCACACGCTGAGAGCGTGGTAGAAAGGTGCCACTGCACATTCCACTGGTGCTGCCATGTCAGCTGCCTGAACTGCACCAGCACACGGATCTCGCACCAGTGTCTCTGAGAGGTGATGGAAGGAGGAGAGAGCCAATGAAACGGCAGGGGGGGGGGGGGGGGGGGGCGGAAGCAAGGAAGTACAGAAGTGGGACGCAGGGAGCAGAGGACCTTAAAGGAGGAAAGGAGTCATGGGGGAGGTGCACGAAAGGGAGAGATAAGACCACAGAGAATTGATTTACACTATGGACTCCTGGTAAAGGGTTCGATCCTTATAAGGAGCCTGTTTGCCCCTGTTTCTCTGACTTTCCTCTCTACACCCTTTCCTCATCTCCATCTCCATCCTTCCATCCCCCTGTATCCAACGCCCCACAATTTGGGGAGCGCAGTTGTAACTGGACACGTCGTCTGACAGATGTTTCTGCGGCTGGGGAACCACAAGCATGCCTCTTTAAAACTGGTGGTGAGCGCCTCTCTCACTCACATCCGCGCCTCCTTTAACCGTTTGCTCCCCCTACGCTCCCCTTCTGCCGTGACGGCTGCTTTTTGGATCGCGTCCCGGCGTGCATCTCATGGGACTCTTTCCGGAGCTTTCCTCCTGCAGCCACCACGATGGAGCCCCAACAAAGGCAGGCCGCCCATGCGTCTCCTCTGTAATTTACCGCATTTTCCTCTTTGATTCTGGATTTTGCTGTAATCTGGTCCTCCTTAACCAGCATATGCTACTGTGTACTTTACTGCACTATGAAGTATTATTTGACTGCATGCTAAATGCTAACCCTTACTAGCACCAGGCAGCGTATGTATACCAGCTCAAAAATGTTGATAGCATGTAGCTACCTATTTAAATGTATCAGGTTTATTTTTCCACATATTTATGTATGTGCCCAGGGGCGTCAGAAATAGGGGGGAGGGGGCCACGCCACAGCCCCCTCCCCCCCAATATCAGTTCCTTGTGAAACTGCACCTTAAACAGTATTAGTCTTATTTTAAATGAAATCTAATTATTTTAAATGTCTTCTCAAATCGCATTCTATCCTGACTATTGCATGTGTGTCCATGGCGATGTTGTGATATTCATCCCCCCCCCCCAAATGTCTAACCCCTTCCGACACCACTGTATGTGCCATTTAAATATCATCAAGCCTCTTCTCGTGTACAGTAGCCATATTCTGATGAACACATTAGTCCAATCGCCCACAGATCAGGCAGAGCAAACCTGCTTGCAACTTTACACGATCAAGTGAATCCCAGCAGATCTTTGCCTTCTGCATTTCGGGCGACTCTCTCTGTAAGCCAAAACCCCAGGATCTCTGTAGATCGGTGACAGACGGTGCAACTTTCCCTCGATGTCACACTGACTCCCAGGGACAAATCGAACTGAGAATATGAGAGAAACAACAACCGCGTCTTATAAACCCTGGAGGCAGTGAGTGTGGTGCATGACGTCGACTCCTTGTTCACTGCGCTGTACCCTGTCTGTATTATGAACACTGGATATTCCTTTTTTATGTGTAAATGTATTTATTGTGAGTTTCCTTTTAGAATGTCTTAATGCTTCCTTTTTAAGATGTAGAGAAAGTTGTTTTCTTTTATAGTGTTACAGATTAATTTTAAAAAGGCTATATTTTCAATAAAGATTCTCTTCTTAGTTATAATGTGATTTTCTAGGATGATCGTGTCTTGACTATTCCACACGATCACTCAGGGCCGCCAGGAAGCCAGGACAAGTCCCAGGGCCCCAGACAGACAGGGGCCCTTTCAAACTGGAATATAATTGGATTGGTCTGGGTTTTAGGCCCAATATGATGTGGTTTCATGGGGCCCAAAATCTCTAGTGGTACCGCTGCTGTAGCTCCTAGTTGCTGTAAGTGACGAGTCTTCGTTTGTTACTTGGTTTCTCTATGACACCTTTGTCTTTACCTCCATCCTTCCTCATTTCTTCTCCTCATTTTTTGCTGGGGTAATTCACACACCCTCCCCCAGTTCTGCTATGGAATCAGCAAAAAGCCTGGGGAAACCACAGCGAAATCCCACCCTGCCCATCTTCATAGTTTCTATTGTACATTTGTTTTCACAACACTGAGTGCTTTGCTTCATTTATTTAACCTCAGTAAGAAAAATTAAAGAAATAATGAATGAAATAATGGAGGGCTGTGCCCCCCCCATCCTCCCCCAGCCCCTGCTCCACACTGACCACAGTAGTCTGAAAGTGGCCAGCTGATTCATCCTGGCTAACCACAGGGTGGCGCTAGAGAGGCTGTGGGTCAGCCAGCTAACACTCTCACACCCAAACTGGGCCAAAGATTGGGGTGAGATAAGAGGAAGGATGGATTGACTGGTTAGAGGGGCAAAAAGAAACTGAGCGAGGTGTGGTTTTCAGGTATTTATTTACACAGCTAGGGTTTGTGTTATTTGGTGTGTCGACATAATGGTTTTGAGAGCAGACTGGTATGCGAGCCAGAGGTTTCTAGGCCTTAGTGAGTGCGGATGAGCTTGGCAGAACAAATCTAATTAAGAGTGAAATGCGTTATTAATAATAAATCAAATGAAAAATGATAGCGCAGATACTTCAGCTGGAAAAAGGAAGTGGTGGTATTAAAAACGTTTTAGTTTCTGGGTGGAAAACTTGCAAAATGGATCCAGAGATGGAGATAAAGTGTGAGAAACAGAAGTTAAGATCTTGGTTCGCACTCTGAAATCATGTTGTTGTGCCAGAATAACCATTTCTTTTTGCCGTTTCAGTGTGAGTCTCGCCCTAATTGCTCCGTGTCGAGAGCTCCCAAGATGCAATGGAGCCAGGGAGAGCGATTCAGGGACAAGGTTAGGGGGAAAAAACAGAGAGTGACAGAAAGAACAAGGACAGATGGATGGCAGCAAAATAAGAGAGTGCTAACAGAAGAGGAAATCCAGCGGAAATTGAAGAGGGAATGAGTTTGTGCAAAACATAGTTGAAAGAGAGAAGACAAATGAAAGGAGAACAGAGGTGTGAGAGGGTGTGGGGTGCGCAGTGGTAATGTTATGTGGTAATGAGCTCAATTAGTGATTAATAAATAGTGACTCTGGGCACCAGTTGCTCTGACCCTGCATTGACCACCAAAAGATCCCAGTCTGATGGACGTTTCGTTGGGCAGAGAAAACATCACTCCGCCTACGCATGACGCGGCAACTTCGCCCCCTGCTGGCTGGCCTCACTGTTGCCATCACGTGGGTTGGGGTTATTCTTTGGGCCCTTTGTCTGCCCTCACTGCTCCATCTCAGAAATAAAAAAGAATGTTAATTCCTCCCGCATGGTCGCCAGATTGAGAAAAATGCATTTCTCTCACTTGGAAGATTCAGGGAAATGGGGTTGTCATTTATTCTGGACTAGATGGGAAAATGAGTGTTGGTTGGTGAGTCGAGGGCAAACAGTCAAGCCAGGATCTGCAATAAGAGTGTGTGTGTGTGTGTGTGTGTGTGTGTAGACTCATGGTCTGTGTGTCTGTGTCCCACCATGAATACATACACAGTCGTCTTTAACACGTTTTCCCAAAATCATGGTGGGGGGGCAGTTGCTGCAATAAATTATAAATCCATCAACATTCTGAAAGCAAGTAAGAAGCAGCTGCTGGGGGAATGAGAATTGGGGGTGAGACAATGAGGCGGACAGACCTGGAATGAAATCAGAATTTAAAATCACACACCCCTTAATCAAACATTACAAACATTGTGCAATTATTTACTTGTCCGATGGCAAGTGATTCAACCCTGGACTGAAACCGCTAATGACACTGGCTTTGTAATTAGCATCTAATCTGTGGTGGCCAGGCTGCTTTGGACCGTGGGATTCTTAAGAACATTCACTTAAAACCCATCACAAATTCCAAAAGAAGGGTAAAAATCTGGGCACATTCTAAACACACAAAATACAACTTGCAAAACACATTTTAAAGTGCATTTTTAGCTATAGCTGTCTACATTTTATGCCAGAAATAGCACATGGCATGCGTTTAAATACAAAAAACACACACACATAAGATTTAAAAGACAAAGATACCGGTACCATACCTGAACTCATTTGTGATCCCAGATCACCAGCTATTTCTCAGACACTGTGGTTGGCAGCAGTAGATGTGGTAATGCCCTGACAACACTCAGAATAATATTGCTGAAACAACATTTCTTTCACTTCTTATGTTCTCTCCTTTGTAATGTGTTTGTAACAGTGTTGCTGTAGAAGGACAGCAGGTGGCAGCAAACTGAATCTTCCTACAGAATTTAAAAATGGTATCTTTGAAAACTATCAAAAAATTATCTGTGATTTTTGGGGGAAAAACTGGAGCAATCCCAGTTCAATGCTCAGGGTCCAGTGCTTTGCATTGTCCTATAAGTGCAAGCATGCTTTTTCCCCTCAGTGGAAATTGCTACAGACTACAGAGGGCAAGGCCTGATCATCTCTGCTGGGAGCAGGTTAGGAGAAGACAAGGATACGTTTTCATTCAAAACATGAAAGCTGAACTTGGACATTTAGATCAAATTTATACTTTGTAGGAAATGTGATGGCTGTGAATAATACATTTGGAAAGTAAGCTATCTTGTTCTGTTTTTCACAATAATTTAATATTATCACAGAAGGAAAGAAATAAGGACATATGTGGTAAGTGATGTGTTAAATGTGATATGGTTTGCTCACTTTGACCAAAAAATGTTGCCAGACAACTGCGCACTAGTGTGACTGACCTACATTGACCTGTTCTTAAGAACGATACACTATGTACAGACAAATTGAAAAAGCAGGATTAATCTGATGGTCTGTGATGAAAAGATAAGAGCCTAACTGTGTGCTGATTTCGGGTGGCTCTGCTTTGTCACTTTGCCTCTTCTTGTGAGGAAACTGCTGCCAATTGCTGAGGTTTTACTAACGGGGAAGGGAATGATGTACGGCGGCAAGCACTCCTGAAATGTCCTGCAAACTCTTGCCATTCCCAGCCCTTGAAACCAATATAATGCAGACATTAGCAGTAATGAGTTCAGGAAGTCTAGGAACCCAAGCTATTTGGTTCCATTTATGATGCAACATTTTACCTTAATTTGCCATAAAATTAAATTATAAACCGAGAACTAATTAAATACAAAAGGTGTGCAATATAGAAAAAGTAAGTATAAAGAGGAAATGCACAAACCAAAACACATTAATGTCATGATGCCATTCATTTTTTTTTTTTTACAAGGATTTATTATATGAGCCAAATTAATTATTTTCTGCAGAGGACAGAGCAGTCTGAGGAATATTAGGTCAAACGATGACAAATGAGGTAGGTAAACTGACGCGACGCAGATCGAAGAACAACAACGGCAGTCAAGCTGGGTGCTTGGGTGAGTATATTGTTTCATTAAAAACAAAACATGGACTCATTGTGGCCCTTCCTGACCATTTCCAATTACTGACCTGGGCTGCTCGCAAATTCTGCATAGTTTTAATTCCAAACAACCATCCTTAGGTACAGCACGTCTCGTCTTAATTACATTTGTTCTGCCAGTACAAGAAACTGCTCGGCAGAAAAGCTGTGTGTACTAATTCCATACTTCCATATTGCATACTAATTCTATACTTCCATACCATTCTAGGCCCAGTGTTGATTTAAGATTAGAAATCAGAAAAATGTCTCAAACAAGTCTACCAAACAATCTTCCAAAAGAGGGGAGGAACTTGTCAGCCTCTTGGCTTTTAATTGCCGGTTGTGTTTTACAGAAAGAGTGGGCTGGGGCTTTGGTTCTGACACATGGGGAGAGGAATGTTATGTGATGCAGTTTGTGGGCAGGTCGGTTTGTAGGAGCACGTGTGGAGGCCACCGTCTCGCACACACATACACACAGGGCTCAGCGGTCAGAATCAGAGCATAAGGCAAGCGCAGGCACACAAACAGGTGACAGGGGAACACCAAGTTACATGCCAAGTCCTTTTGCTCCCCATTGTGCGAAGGTGCCAAGCCAGACCACCCAAGAATATAGATCTGCACATATGGAGTGTGTGAATTAAAAGTGTGGTCACCTTTCCCATTAGGGTGCTCCTGCACCAGAGCTGCTGGATGCACCTCAGAAGTGCTGACTGCCAAACCCTGTCAGAAACACATTCCATTGTCCCACCTCTTCCCCCTGCTCAGCGACACTGAGGACGGCCAACCACACGAGCCACTGGCTCCACCAGCCAGCCGGCGCTCCGGATGGGACTGCTTATGTCTGCCGCCTCAACACCCAGCGCCATAATCGCTTCCAGAACAGAACTCCCCAAGCGCCTTCAGTGGCCTATACTCAACCCTAAGTTCTCATGTAGAGCTTTCAGCACAACACATCTCTTAGCCCCCTGCACCTCCCAAGTGCTGCTTTATTGTTGTACCAGAAGTGATTTTAGAGACTCTGAGAGCTCTCCAGTTCACCCCATACACAGTACAGCAGATTTGTCATTGAAATGTACCACACTGTCAGAAAAAAGGGTGCAGCTCTGGTATAGATTTGTACAAACAACATTGATATACCCCCAATGATACAAAAACGTTCCTCAGAGTCCACTTCTATGTCTTAAAGGGTACATTTACCTATAGCTAGGGTACAGTTGGTGGGTCCTCGAGGGTACAACCCCAGTAACAAGTAACTGTACACTCAAAAGGTACAAATTGGTACCTTTTTTTCAAACAGCAAATGCTATTGCCTGCCTTGCCTGTCCCGCCACTATGCCTTGCGGTTTGCATTCGCAATACAAAGAATACTGTATCCATGTTTAAACTTGAACGTCTTTTTTTCACAGTTCACAATTCAGATCCTTCGGACTCCAGACAATCGATAATGCATATTGACTCAGGTAAAATAACCGAGTATCTGCTGGCACCTAGTGGAGATTTGTAGTTATTAAACCGCAAGCAAAAGAAAACAGAAACAGTATCCAACAGAAAAATAAACAGATAAAACAATGGGATTAGTACATTTAAATAGGATTCTTATCATATTTTAAATGTACCAACTTAGAGGTATATATAGTATACAAGGGCATTAGTTTGTGCAATAATGATTAGTGTTTGTGTTATGATTGTGCCAAAAAGAGCGAAGGGCCAATATGAACAATAGGCGCACTTTTGATCGTTAAATCAAGTAGTAACTTTCAACGGTAAATTCTTGTATATTCAAGCTGGAACAACACCAGTTGGTTGATATACCTCATTCAGATCAATTCAGTGGAAGAACATTGCAGGAAAAAAAACACCCAAGAAGGCCTAAATAATTTTGGATTAGTTGGCTGTGCTCATTTTATTTAGATGGCCCAATGTTAATTATCGCAATACACTGATCTGTAATTTATTGGTCTAATTTGTGATTTTATTTTTTGTTGTTTTGTTATTTATTCGTTTTAAGCATTTATAGTTATTTCTGTCTGTAACGTTTTATCTCGACATAGAGGCAATGCCTTTATCTTGTATTTCCATCGTAAATACGGGTACATTTTACCATATATTTATATGTATTTATGTAGGCTATTTTTACCTTTTACTTGGGGAAGATGCGTCACTCAATCCCTCGATAGCGCGCAGGCTAAGGGCGCCCCCTAACGCTGGATTGGGAACTGCAGTCGGGAGGGGCTTGTGGGACGCTGGCGGAATGTCCGGGCGGGACTCCGGGATCCAGGTGTGGGGAGCGCTCATGTGGCGGCTGCCCCGTTATCGTCGTGCTATAATAACACATCAGCTTTAACCTCCGTCGCCTGCTTTGGCCACATCAGTTTCACCTGGACCTTCGTATGCGCCTCGCTGGGCCATTACTTGGCTCAGCTAATACTCAAAATATTCCTAGAAAGGCTTGCTTAACTTCCTGAAAGTTTTTTTTCTGAATATATATATATATACATAAAAATGAAAATGAAGACTTGGGTTTTCCTAGTCTGGCTGGTTGCAGCAGCATTAGTCGCAGCCGAAGACTCGGGGCAGGAGCAAAATGCAATTGAGGAGCTTATGGTGGACACCTTGGTAAGTAATCCCAAGTTTTCTTCTTGTTTTAAGTTTAAAGCCGATGGCCGAAAAGACCGGGCAGCACTGTACACGTAAGCCCTTTGCAAACGTGGGTTACAGACGAAACGCACAGTAACCGCCCACAAGGGAAAACGTGTTCAAAAGCTTATATTTTAAACCATATATATTTTTGAAAAATTAGTTTTTCCATTTTAACTTCCAAACATATACAGAATATCCATAAGGTTTTTTTCGACTGAATAAATTGTTTAAATGTTTAATTCCCTGTGATTTAAATGTTTTAAAGGTGATACCAGAAAGCTGTGACAGAGTGTCGGAGATGGGGGACACGCTGCAGATCCATTACACTGTGAGACAAATCTGCCCGAAGATGAAACACAGCTTGGCTCTTACTGTCCCTCACCCACTGTCTGTCTGCGGAGCCGTCGCCCTTACGCGACGATTCGTGTCATCCGTCGCTAACTTGCACCATTCATTTAGACCAGGGGAAATCGTCAAAATCACACAAATGTAATATTGGTTGGAAGTATTTAATGCCTTTATGACGCATTTGTAATTCGATTGTATGGAAGGAGATCGGAGTCTGTGTGACACTCAACTCCTGCGAAAGGCATGTCCGCTCCGATACGCGCAGCTTCACCTTTCCAGCGTAGTCCTGCAAAAAATAACGGGCAGCGCTTACAGTTCCTGCAGATGTTTTTCCCATTGCCAGACTTATTCAGAATGACAGCTTTGGAAATGTAAGGATCTTAGGTTTAAAACCTGTTGAGCTGAAAAAGACACATCCACTTTGCTGGGTTTGTCGGAGGCGGAGCAACACGTCAGCAGTCGCGGCGTGCGGGCGGCCTTTCACACGCAATGTCCCGCTCTTCGGCATATACGGCACACATTCAGAATAAAATATACCTTCGTTTATATCCCCCGCTATTGGAAATACATATCAGTAGCCGAAATGAACCGTCATTGTATAGAGCACTTCTTTTATCTATTTGAAGTTGAGACAGTTATGCTGTTGGTCTGTGCAGTGAATAGCGCTCATGCCTGCTCGGTGTTTGACTGTCACCTCCAGGGCAGGCTGCTCGATGGAAAGGTGATAGATTCCTCTCTGTCCCGGGACCCGTTGCTTGTGGAATTGGGGAAAAGGACGGTTATTGCAGGTACATGAACTGTGCTAATCTCACGAAGTTGTTTTCTGCTTGATTCACATCACTAACGCGACTGTTAAACCCATTTAAGTGCAGATTTTACATTTCATCCCCTCAGGTCTCGAGCAGAGTCTTATCGGTGTTTGCGTCGGGTGAGTTCTGATTTAACCGTAACTTGTACGATGCTTCAGTGGGTAGTTCTGTTGGCTCAGACCTCTATGTTTGGGGATATGAGTCCCACCAATGTGGAAGTTGTTTTTTTGATGCTATGCAGGTTCCTCCTGGGTACTCTAGTTAACTCCTGCAGTCCAGAGTCATACATTTGGGTGAATTAGTGTCTCTAAATTACATGTGTGACTGTGTGTGTGCTCAGTGATAGACTGGCATCCTGCTTAGGATTTTCACCAGCCTTTTGTACAGAGTTAAAGAAAAAAATAACCAACTTCCTTTGAATATGCATTATTTATTTCAGTTTTTTTCTCCCTAAGACAAAAAATCAAGGCCACAATACCAGCTCATCTTGCCTATGGAAAGCGTGGCTATCCTCCAACCATCCCGGGTAATGTTGGGCTTGTCGTTATGCTACATATTGGACAGTAGGGGGCGGTAGTGATCAAGGACACGGCCTAATGCATGTCTCAGTTTAAAGTGGGCGCGTATAACACAAGCATGATAACAGCTATTGATGTCCCTATACGCACGCTTCCTGACGCCACAGGTGACGCGGCGCTGGAATTCGAGGTGGAGGTGGTGTCTCTGAGCCAGCAGACGCCCTGGCAGAAGCTGGTGAATGATGTGTTCCCGCTGGTGTGCCTCGCACTGGTGCCCTCGCTGCTGGGCCTGGTGGGGCTCTACCTCTACAAAAAGGCCGGCGCCCAGCAATCGGGCAAGAAGAAAGTCAAGGACAAGAAGGGCAAGCAGAAGAAGAAATAAAGTGCTTTCCAAAGAGCACAAGGCTGGCGTCTCTCATTGAGAAGCTCGGACCCCGTGTGTTTACTGATGACTCGTGGTTTTGGATGGATGTGGGGCACGGTGTGTCTGAGGGCTGCGTGCTGTAAGGGCTGCTGGGTGCTGTATTATTTATGTATGAGCTGTAATGTGCTGCTTCTGTGCCCAGCTGCTGTCATGCTGTAAAATGTGAGTGGGGCCTTTTATTCCTCCGGTGGCTGCGCAGGTGGGCTCCTGGCAGCCGAAAAACACGCCCCCCCGGTGGTTCACAGCGTGTGCTTCATGGCATGGGCCGCCTCGACGACGGTGTGCCGCTTCCCACGGCTGTCGCCCAGGACTGCGAGCGCGGGCTGGCGGACCACCAGGAGGGGGCGCTGTTGAAGATGGAGCTCGTCGTTGACGGAGATGCTGTCTAGGTACTGGCGCAGGAGCAGCCGTAGGCGTTGGTTCTCCTGGCTCAGCTCAGCCCGCTCGCGCTCCAAGCACAGGCGCTCCAGCTGGGCCTTGTTGTAGCGCTGCCAGAAGTGTTCCAGGGCCGAATGATCCTGCATGGCCTGGTCCGCAGGAGGGTGTGGGGGGGGCAACCATGCAGGAGAAGAGAATGTCGTAACCAAACTCTCATGGGTCAATACTGGCAAGGCATCCGAGTACCTATTACAGACTGTGAGACTGGCACTGAAGTATTTTATTATTAGATTAGCTGAACGCTACCTAGTACAGTATAGTATATAGCGGCACAACTGCCCCAGCCTCACACGCATCTCCCAGTCACATTCTCACCTAAAAATGTGCTTATCCTATTTTCCGACATGCGTCCATTTTGACTTACAACCTGGAGTCCAGTCATAAGTCAGGGACGGTCTGCATTAGGTACGTAAGACAGGTGGATGAGGTATGGAGCTGAAGGTTTAATTTCCCTCCTCCGTGTGTAGAGAGATACATTGTCCCCATGTGGTGTGTGACCTGCCTCTTACTGAAGCTTCTCTTACTGAAGCTTCCCTCAATACAGCTAAATCAGCACAAGCCTCAGTGGCCAAACGGTCTTTGAAAACCGATCTAAGATGCTACTCCTGACCAGCTGTCTCAGACAAAACGGTTCCTATTGTATCTGTTTCTTTGAACACACAGGAACTACAAACAAGGTCCTGCTTCTTGGTAACATGGGTGAGATCTAAAAGAAAGCGGTAAAGGGCCGATGCTGAATCACCTTGGCGAGCTCCTCTGTGGGCACCTCCGCGCTGCCACCTCCCCCCAGGCTCTCCTCAGCGCTAAGGGAGCAGCTGTAGAAAGGCAGCACCTTCTCCTGCTCCGTCTCCAGCTTGCGGCACATCTCTGAGAGACGCAGTAGCTTCTCCCCCTGACGCAGACACACACTGTGTCCGTCCCATCTTACGATTTTAAAACAGATCTGCGACTCAACAGAACTGTTTACAGCGGCGTTTCTTAGCACGGTCCTTGGGGTCTCCCACGCAGTCCACATTTTTGTTGACTCTCAGGTCCCAACACAACCGTACCAGGTATTCTGCATTATTAATTGGATGGATTCAAAAATGTGGACCGACTGGGGGTCCCTGAGGACTGGGGTGGGAAACCCTGCATTACAGTAATTGGAGTAATGAACCTCCTCTCATCCAGATTATATGAGTTAGGACAAAGTAAATTAAAACCAACTAATTTTTAAATATCACTTTTCTCAACATTGATGTCTCAAGGCTCTTAACAAAAATGTAACTACATTTACTGTCATTTATCAGATTTATTCAGTGACTTGCAGTAGTGGAAAGGCTCACATGTGCTCCCTGTGATTTGAACCCATGACCTTTGTGTTGTTAATGCCCTATTTATTGATCTACTGCTATAAGACTGTACAGTAGATTTCCTCTCATTAATGTAACATGAGACAAACAAGCACGGCGGCACCTTCTCTATGACGCCCCGTAAGGTCTTTGCCGCAGCATTGCTGCGCACGGTGAGGTCAGTGAGTCGCCGCCGATCCGCAGCACGGGTGCCGCCCAGCTGGGTCATTAGCTGCTGCGCCTGCAGGAGGACGTCTGTCTTGGCTGCCCGCAGGTCCTGCGTCATCAGTGTGCTCTCCCCCTGTCTGGAGCTCAGCTGCGCCCGCAATTTTGCGATTTTGGTCTAGAGGGTCAGAGCAGCATCAGGCACACTGTCAGGCAGACCTGAAACTGCACATCATCAGGGACCAAGATGGCTGATCTAGGGCAGGGGTTCGCAAACGTCTAAACTGAAGCTGAAGGCAACACTGGGATAATTTGACCATGACATCCACAGCCCCCCTGGTGCATCCCCCCACCATGGACCTGTATCTTGCGCAGTTTCTTCATCTGCTCCTCTATTTCCTGGGCACTCTGCTGGTCGCTGTCCTGCAGTGCATTGCATGCGACCTGCTGGTTCTCCGTGGCCTTTAAATATCTATGGTGCTCCTGCTCGAGCTCTTCCATCCGCTTCTGCACAGTGCCTTTCTGCTGATCCTGGATCATCTGCATCTCCTCTGCATTCTAGGGTAAGTTTAATTATGTGGCTTTAGTCACTGAATGTTCAAAACCACGTAAACACTGGAAGTGCGGACCTATGGCCGTCGATACACATGCTCCTCATTCGACTCATCCGGCTGGGTGTACCTGGTTCCGGACGTCATCACGGGTGCTGTAGAAGTCATCTTGGGCTTCTCGGTACACATTGCGGTAGTGGTCATCCATGGCAAAGCTGACATCCTGAAGATATGTGGACTCTGCCTGGTGCTGAGATGTGAGCAGCACCCTACAAAACAGCATAGGGATGTTCAGTGATTCTTCACTACAGACCAGGAGGACCCTGCTAACGATTTTGTTTCTATCTCATCTTTTCCAGGCTGCTGGCTGCTGATTGAACCCTATCTGTTGCTTTTGGAAGTGTGCATATTCTAATAAGGAAAAAAAACATGAAAAGATACTTATCCAAAGTGTTGGCCCTTAGATGATTATTACAGTGGCAAATGAATTTAAAATAGAATTGTTTGAATACTGATATATACCCTGAAAAACTGGGTACGATTTAGATAGAACAACATGATCAGGGGCTTAGGAACTGAAGGAGAGATGTACCGCCCCCCAATAAACAAACCTTAGTATGTACACCACCACCCCCCCCTCCAATATGAAACTGCCTCCTACACCGTTGATTGTGATCATTTCACGGAATCTAATAAGCCTTTCGATTAAGTGGCAGGTTGGAAAAAAACAGCAAATTTCACAGTGTTTCGCCAGGGTCAGGGGTAAGAACCACCTTTCATGGTACCAAGGTGTTTATGCACATAAACAGCAGGAATGTTTAGTGATATGATTAGTGATATGATCAGGTCATGTGCCACAGCATTCCTCAGTAAGCCCTACTGCCCATGCAGAGAAAAGAACAGGGCAACCTCTCTGCGTTAAACTCCTGGCTGAGCTCTTCAAGCTCATTGGCCCAGGTCTGTTGCAGCGACTCCAGCCTGGCCTTATGCAGATCCAGAAGCCGGTCCACAAACTGCAGGTGAGAGCTCACTGCCAAGGACGACTGCTGCTCCGCCTCCATCAGGTCGCTCACCAGGGACTGCGTGACACGCAGAGAGCCTATCAGCATGGGCGCAGCGCCTAGGCGCATGCACAGGCGGGAGCCGGCCGGCTCCGTGAACCGTCCCCCTGACCTTGACGATGCTGTCCTTGTGGTCCAGGATCCTCTCAAAGGTCTGGCTGAGCACAGCCACATCGCGGTACAGCTCCTCGACACGGGCTTTCCTCAGCACCGTCCTCCACTGCTGGGTCAGCTTGAGCCGGTTCACTGCGCTGTTCCGCTCCTCCTTCTGCAGCTTGTCCTGAGGGGTGTTGTGAAGGAAAACTGACTGGGTGACATGTAGTAGTCCAGCAACCCACAGAAGCACATTTTATGGGACAAACTCCTTTAAAATAAGTAAAATCTTTAAAAAAATAAAATAAATATTAGGACAAGGGGTACAGAAAATGGATAGATGGATTTATTAATCTCATACATCTGAAGTATGTCTGATCCTCCCCTGTATTAGACTTGTGCATCAGTAATAAGGAACTAATACCTTAAGGAACTGGGACAACATGTCCTCTTTCCTTTTTGCCATGTCCTCCTCTGCCAAAGCTCTCTGCTGCATGAATAGGATTTTTTCTTCCTCCGTCATTGTTGCCTTCTTCCCCTTGGTTACCCTTTTTGCTCCTTTCGACATGGCTCTACTACCCGAGCTCCACTGTCCACAACTTCTCCTTCCTTTTTAATGGATACTTTCAGGATCCTAAAACAGACTTAGTTAGATGTCCATAAACTACCTGAAATCAAAGCATTATCTCTACATAAAAAGTGTTGCATTTTTAACTAATACATTTGCCAATTAAATCTCTATTGGATTTATTACAAACACATTTGGAAACATATTCCAGTGTCATAAACGTCTAGTTCTTTCTTACAAGAACAGTACATTAAGTTATGTTCTCAAATTCAACCAAATAGTCACGGCAGTAACGAAATGTTCACTAAATCAGGCATTTAAGTGGGTTTCTAACTGCTTACCGTAAAACCAGGCAGTCGCTGGCTTCTGTTTACACCGCGTCTCTTAGCAACAAGCATCATGGTTAAAGGAAACCTTTCTTACTAGTGTAGAGGCAAATTCCCGATTATATGAGTGACGAGTGCAACCAAACGCAATTTAAATACCCGTTTTGTAGACTTTAGAATTTATATACAACGCCGCTCTAGAGAGTAAAACAGTAAAATAAAATAAAATAAAATAAAAATAATAAATATTATTAGGTGACAGTAATTTTCCAAACCATATATTTCTGGAGTTGTGGGTGTAATTTAGCCCAATTTCATACACTTTCATATGAAACCTGAAATAAGTTTGCTAGACCTACTTTGGATTTCATTCATTTAAAAGTGAATTCTATGGTAAAAGGTCGCACGCAGTGTACTGTGGGGTAGCAAAAGGTTGTAGTAATCCATCCGCGATAAAATAGTCCTTCTACATATTGTTATAAGCGAAACATATTTTTGAGAACAGAGAAAAATCACACAGAAGTCGTATAAATATATCTGGCAGTTTTATATTAAGCTGATTGTATTTTCTTCACTATTTAAGACCAGATTTCGTCGGCGGAAGAATAGCAGCATAAAAAGGTCGGTGCTGCGGTTTACGGTCCTCTTTCCAGCCTCCTGTTCAAGATGGTGAGTGAAAACAGTCTTGTACAGGAGTGTCGAAAGTGGTCTCATGTCGTTGATCAGACATATACGTTACTTTCCCTTTCTCATCTTTAACAAAATAAAACCTAATAGCACCTATCCATGAGGTTTCCAGTACTTCAGGGGTGACGTAATGTTAATTCTAAGATAGCTCCTTAGCTACTCGTCAGGTAGCACGCGTATGGGGCGAGTTCGTTTGGCCTCAGTGAGATAACTCACGTTAGCTTCAGTAATTACTGTGCCGCATGCTAATCAGACTGTAAATGTGACTGTATGCTTGATATGTAAGTGAACATCGCGCTTTATGTGACTTTCGTGTGTAAAGCCCGTCCACTGCTGTTGGTTGAAATGCGCGTGTTTGCTCATTGCGGGCGATGCTAACGCCAGCGGGCCGCCGCCTGCGCCGCGTTTGTCTCCTCAGACCAAGAAGAGAAGGAACAACGGACGCGCTAAGAAGGGCCGCGGCCACGTCCAGCCCATCCGCTGCACCAACTGCGCCCGCTGTGTCCCGAAGGACAAGGCCATCAAGAAGTTCGTTATCCGGAACATCGTGGAGGCTGCAGCCGTCAGAGATATCTCCGAGGCCAGTGTCTTTGACTGTAAGTGCGGGGGGTTGCGACTGTGCGGCTACACTGAAGATTAAAGTTTAATTAATCACTTTTGAGATTTTGTTTTTGCTGTAGGGTGTACATTATTACGTTTAGATGACTAATTAAGCAGTATCAATGTAGGACGAAGGCTAAATTAAGTTACCTGACTTGGCTGTATGCAGACCCTCCTATCCTTTGTGATCTGTGGATGCTGATGGCTTTGTAACGCACTGTTTCTATCATTTCTGCTCCCACACAGCCTATGTCTTGCCGAAGTTGTATGTGAAGCTGCACTATTGTGTAAGCTGTGCCATTCACAGCAAGGTGGTGAGGAACCGCTCCCGAGAGGCTCGGAAGGACCGCACCCCACCTCCACGCTTCAGGCCCACTGTAAGTTCGGCTGGCCCTTTGTGCATGTTCACTTGAAATGCACTTGTGCCCATTGGGACGTACATTTTAAACTGTTTTGATGAAATTGAAAGGCAAGCTGTTTTCTTAGACAAAGAATATTTAGAAGTGTTGGAATTTCTCTTTCTAGAATGAGTGCTTCTGCAGTTAAATATGTGACCACTCAGCCTCATGAATTGTATGTTACTTCATTATGTTAATGTGAGGGAAACTGACTTCTTGTCTCTGTCCTTACGCAGGGTGTCGCACCAAGAGCTCCTCCAAAGCCAATGTGATGCTGATTTTTTTTCGAAGATTCTGTGCACATTTACAGGAAAGCTTGAGAATAAATGACACCTAGACCTTGAAGCTGCTTGTTCTGACCAAATTATTGGCACTGTTTGTAAAGTTTTGTATTGGTGTTGTCTGAGTATAGTGATATCTGGGGTGTGTATAGGATTTAAGTTATTATTTTAGGACAAAAGAACCGAACTTCCCATTTTCTAGTGCTCATCTTGAAATGGCACTAATGGAGCTGACGAGAGTCTGCCTGTGCCAACTTAATCTACATATGATGGAGTTGCTGATCCTTTGGTTTGATTACAGTTTGATTAATTTGATTACTAATGTCTGGCTAAGACCTGAGGCCAGAGAAGATGTGTAGCAGCCAGTAATGTCTGCCAATAACATTATTTTTCCAGTCTTAATGTAATAACTTACCAAAGATCTAACATTTCTGAATCAAAAATATTACTTTTTTATGCATAATGTAATAGGTTATAGCAGCCAATAATGTTATAACTACCATTAATGTATTAAAAACATTATATTATTGGCAATTATTGCACTATTGGCTGTAGGTTGGGCACCTGACTAGACAAAAAATTTTGAACTAGTTAGAAATATCAATCACACAAAGTTTTTATGACTTGCATGAATAACACATTAATTGACACAAAGCTTTGCTATCGTTTAAAGTTCGATCATGGTTTGTCAGCAGTTGCTCTTTCAAAACCACCGATGAGCCTCGACCATACGTTACTGAGGCACCAGTAGGAAGGAGAGCAGCAAGTGCAATAAACACATTTCAACGTGACAAAAAGTAAAGCTGATTTATATTTATTTGGAATAGACTTTCTGCCATACAGTACAAAACTTACAGTAGTTTCTCGTTACACAAATATATCTAATTACAGTATAGTACATATACAAAGGCTCTGCAGTAGTTTTTTTATACTTTAAATGTATTTAAAGCAATTCATACCAGTCACAGAAAGTAATTCATTAATGATGATAAAAGCATAACACAAATATACTTTGCAATACAGAACGAGAAATCTGGGAGAAAACAAACCACAAAATGGTAGAGGATATATTGCACTTTGGAATTGTATACATCTGTAACAAAATATCTTCTGTACACGGTATTCTGAAAAGGAGAATATGGAGTCTATTGACCATTTTAAAGACCTACACTGCAAATCCAAAGTAAAGACAAAGGTGATCATTGTGCAACGAAATGTTCGCACATGCAACAAAGCAACATAAAACCCTTACTTTCTGTGTCCCGTGTCAAACACACAGAGTTCACATTGCTAACCGAACTTGACCTTCTCCAAAGCTGATTTGCTATATTTTTCCTGTGGAAATTTACGGGGCTGAGATGGTTGAGATGCTGGAGGCCCAGTGGTGAGAGTTAGCATTCAGAATTTGTCTTCATCTAGGTTGCCTACAGTCCAGAATCTGCATCACTACATAGTAGAGAAAGCCTATGAAACTGGATCTGCTTGCATAAAATGCCATGAATCTCACAGCTAAGAGCTAACCCCCCCACCCAGGTAGGATAGTGCAATTTGTTCAGCCATCTCATAAAAAAAATCCCTAGAATTGTTTGTAAATATGTAACACTTAGCTTTAACAGTTTTTATTGGTACCTCATCAAAGTAGGTTAGCCATAAAATCAATCAAGACTATTAATTCATTCTTGCTACAGTGTTACGTTTTACACTGGCCTAACTGCTTTCACGATGTTGCACACAAATAGCCAAGAAGCTTGTGAGGAGGAACATGGAGTGACCCGGATCTCATCTGATCCAAACGTGTCACGTGTTGTGTGCAAACATGCTTTTATACTCCACTAATTTTTTAAACTAACGTAAATCAAAGGGTCATCTGAAGAGAATCATTAGCCCTTGTTCCAAGAGGAAAACTGAACAAAGGTGATCATGCCTCTATGATAAAACATTTTATCTATGGGAAAAAAATAAAAATAATTCTTTAATGGCCAATGTTTAAATTTGAAGTTTTAGAAGGCATCTTATTTAAGTAGTCAGTTTGAATTAGTATCAATCATATTTGTTGAGTCAGATGCACCAATCAACCCATCTGCAGCAACCACAGTAATCTTGTTTCGATGCCTGAAGATAACATCAATCCACTACTGTCTTTGTCTTCCAGGCTCACTCGTACGTCAAGACTCAGGAAAAAAGAAACTTTTATCCAAGCCACAGAAAATTCTCACAACTCGGGTTTATGAGATACAGATTTCCGTTGAGGTAGAAGCAAGAAACCTATTTCAGGAGAGAGGGTTTAAGTGCGACTCACTGCGGCGCATTTGTTCTGATAGCAAACTCCAGTCTTTGGCAGTTTGTGCATTAACTATACGTGCCATTTGGTTTAGCCAAGTACAGTCTTTCTGCTATCCAGCTGTATCAGAACTCAGCATATTTACAGGCACGTGTTTAAGAAGAATGCAGAATGACTGATAAATCATCAGGAAATATTCATAAAAGCCACAGGTAGCACACAGGGAGACTCCATGCACATTGACCAGCCTCCGATTTGGAGCAGTAGTTTAGCTGGGATAGGACTCAAACAAGAACACTTGTGCTAATCTCTGTTAGCTCTGTGCAATCTAGAGAATTTTTGAACCAGTGTTCTTCATAAATTTACCAGTTAATCAGTCTAATTGGGTCACTCTCACAAACCAACTATTAACCTGTCTGTAATGATTTGACTTGAATTAATTAGTATAAATTGACAATATTTTTAACAGCAAAACATACTTGCTGTTATGTTTAAGGGGTGAAAATTTGTAACTTGAACCCATCTCATTATCGTAACCTCAACAACCATCATGTTAAAGCAGGAATATTTTGGGAATATTCTTGATATCACACTGAAGTGAAATGTACTCTTCATACATTTACTCTGATAATTTAACAAAAAACTACCTTAAAAATTAAAGGTTCAAAACATGCTACAGTACTGAAATAAATTAAAATTAATTACAAAATTAAAAAGGGTATTTTCTAGGCCTGTTTGTGGATTTCTATTTACAAATCTGCTAATTTAAAAGCTCCATAAATATTTTTATCTTTGAACACTTTACAGTTACAGTAATGAGATTGTTTGACAAAGTCTCAAAATGCATTAGAAGTTTACTCAACAGCAGTTAAAATACTAATCATATCTACACTGAATTTTCAAACCATATTCTGCAGAACACAAAAGAAAAAATAACGAGTGTGAATTTGGTGAGACTGACCCAATTATAAAGCCATACTGCAGTTTCATATGGGAATAAAATGTTTATGTGACTGAGTCACTAGTCCATGTTTTAGCTGTCAGTCACCAGGAAAAAAAAAAACCCTAAGGCAAGGGCACAATAGCACCATTATATAAGAAAAACATTATTCCTGTGTACATTATATATAGAGTGATGCTAGAATTTAGAAGAAATACATTTTGAATCAGCCCTTCCTCCATTCATAATCACAAAGCCTTAATACATTTTTCACAGGAACTCAATATTCAAACGAAAGGCATTTATTTTGGGACAGAAGTGCTACAGCTATTTAAATGAATAGTGTCGTCAGAGAGGGGGATGGGCCACACACCCTGCAGTGTAAACGAGCTGCTAGAGTTGCTCTGGATCTGCCCCCCCATCTTTCCTCTTTGTATCGAGACCCTTCATTTAAAATGGAAAACTGCAAGTGCAGCAGAGGGTTCCAGTGAATCTCTAAGCAAGGCCAGAACTCCTCCACTTCCTTCCAGGGAGTCAGTGTCCCCTAAGACTGAAACAGCCCCCACACCCTTCCCACACACGACGAGAGGGTTTTCCCATTTGAGGTAAACAGTGCTCTCATCTAAAACATGAAACCTGGAAGTCCACGCGGCACGGAAAGACTCCCGCTTCCGCTGTCCTCCACCTTTCAGGCTTAATTCACAGCTCATTAACTTTAAGACGGTTTGTTTTCCTTCGAGCAGATAAAAAATTAGATACAAATACAGAAAAACCACAACATCACTGATTGGATAAAGAGAGAAGAGCTTTAACAGCCAAAATGAAGCTGGGTGTCCTTGCTAGTCTTTATCCCGTACCCTAATCCACATATTTAAGCACAGAAAGCGCATCCAAACCTCATTCACTGTTACACAAGCACACACATCCAAACCTCATTCACTGTTACACAAGCACACACATCCAAACCTCATTCACTGTTACACAAGCACACACATCCAAACCTCATTCACTGTTACACAAGCACACACATCACCATTTAGCCTTCTCCCATACACCTGGCAGAAAATCTGACAATTTAACAGTTTACCTGTGATAACCTGACCATATCCTAGGGGTGCTGGATTGAACTAGGCCTCTCAGGGGGATAATCATGATTGTGTAAATCATACAAAAACTGAGGTTAAATGTGGGGTCTGACATACAGTGAGGGACCTTGGTGTCTCTCTGAGGTTCAGCAGGTAGACATTCAGACACACGCACTCACAAATCTTCTCAAACTACAGAATCCTTTAAAGAAGTATTCTTTCTTGGATTTTTACATCTCATTGTCTTTATCCTGCTTGTTTAAAATGTGAAAAACTAGATTCAAGTGAAAATTGACATATCAGTGCAACATTTTTCTCCAGGAACTTAAACTGCTGAAACCAGCCCATGGTGCTGGGTGCTGGGTGCTGGATTCACTGCAGTTTGATATAGGGGGAGGGGGGCTGGAAACATCAGTTTGTTTTGTCTTTTGCTCCTCAGAGCATAGGAGCTGATCATCAGAAGGCTTGTCTGAAAAAGGTAACCACTCAAAGGTACTGAGAGTCTGCCTCCTTGCTGCGAGGCAGCGACTGCCACCGAGATTGAGAGTCTGCCTCCTTGCTGCGAGGCAGCGACTGCCACCGAGATTGAGAGTCTGCCTCCTCGCCGCGAGGCAGCGACTGCCACTGAAATTTTAAGATCTCTTTAAAAGCAACACTATTTGTCAGTAAATTGTTCATCCCCATTACAACATATTGATATTTAAAAAATTACAACAGATACCTGTGAAGCAGGAACGATAGATTTTATAAAGACTCACCCACCGCGGCACTTAACACACACATAATTCTACACTCCCTGTTAAGAAAGTAGGGTGCGTACACATTCACTCTCTCACACAAACGCGCGCACACACACATAAACACTTGATTCAGAAAGTGCAATACTTCGCATTAGTGATCCCCCCCCCACACACACACCTCTTCCCACCAAAGTCACTTGAGATGGGTCTGTCTGTCTGATCTGCACCAACACGTCAGGAAATTCTCAGAAATATTCGTCCCGTTTTACTCCACTTTCCCCTGCAGTGGATGAAGCCCGAATGGCCCAGCTTGGTTGGTAGAACTTACTGTGCAAACTCTACTCTACTGGACAATGTGGCTGTCAGCAGTCACCAAGCTGGCCTGAATATCTGTATGGGGGAAATGAGTTTGATCAAAGCCTGTCTGTCCATTTCTCAAAAGCAGTCATTTTGGCTTAATCTTTTTTCTTTTGGTGCATTGGAGAAAAACACAAATGAAAAAGGTAGATCTCCGGTACTAAGCCACAGATGAAATGGATTAAGGTTTTTGGAAAGTTGGAAAAAATATATAGTGTATATAGTTTTGGTTTATTGTCTTTTTTGGTGCATGTGGAAATAAGCAGCTAATGTAAAATATTCTACAGACTGACTTTCGATATTTGAAGTTGTCTTGAGATGCAAGACTATTTCAGTCACTGTGATTTTCTGCAGAGTAAATAGCTTCTATTAAGGCAACGTGTGTGTTTGATTTCTGCTCACATGTGGCTTTGACACGACCCCCCAGCCTAGATCCTCGCCAGTAACATCATCAGGCTTCATTCAAGTTTCTCCATCCAGCCTAAACATTTTAAAAAACTACATTTCATTGGATAAAAATATCATTACTCTGTTTATAAATAAATACCCCCAACTAAACTTGTATTACAAGTCTAGCAGTGTAAAACCAAACAAGTCGTTTCTCTGAGAAATCTTATATGAACAATACTTTCCAGTTCCTTTTTTAAAGTCGCTTTCTACCGCGCAAAAGGTAGCAGAGAGGAAAATAAGCCGTACCTCCCCTAATCTGGGCCCTGCCGCTCTCATCCTGGTCACACGGCGAACAGACAGAAAAGATGACAAAGGCTGACATTCATGGCCCAACTTACTATGACATTTAAATGTTAAACCTGTGTGCATCTCACAACCTCTGTCTTCGGGCTGATCGTGTGTTTCTGCGGCTCCCACCCAAGGTAAACAGCACCGGGGAAAGGCACTTCCGGGGCAGAACAGTGCTGTTCTGCCCGCTAAATCTCTCAGGGGGTGCCCCGTCCCTTCATCCTGGCTCCCCCGCGTTCCATGTAACGGTTCTGCAGAAATAACGGCCCGGTGCAGACCAAACCCAACTTGCCCACGTCTCAAAGACAAGCGTCACAAACACGACCACGGTAGAAGCGCCCCTCCCCAGCCCGCCACCCTAACCCCCCACCCCGGCCCCCTGCCGCCCTCAGCCCACCGTGTGCTCCCCACGGACGATGTGCGAGGAGAACTCGTAGCGGTCCTGACTGCGGTGGCCGCAGATGTTGCACTCAAATGGCTGTCGGAAGCCATGGCAGCCCATGTGGATGGTGAACATGACGTGGTCCAGGAAGAGGACGCGGCAGTGATCGCAGCGGAAGGAGCGCACGGGGTCTCCGTCCTTGTCGATCACCCGCAGGGAACTCAGGCGCTCCCGCTCGCTGTCCCTCTCCTTGGCCTTGCTGGGGCTCTGTCTCTCCCGCTCCCTCTCCTGGCTGCGGGACGGCGGCAGGCCGGTGTGGTGGTTGGAGTTGTGACTTGGGGTGGTGGTGGCGACAGCCTGCTCCTCTGGAGTGCTCTCCGTGTCCGTGGAGTCATGGCAGCCATTGCTGGGCGAGGGGGCTCGGCTCCGCGCGGGGACCTGGTCCTCATGGCCCTCGACCCCCTCCTGGCCGGTGACCCCGCCCCCCGTGCCATCTAGTCGTGACCCGATCTGGGTGTAGACGGAGCTGATGACTGGGGTGAGCTCGGACAGACAGGTGGAGTGGGGGGTTGGCAGCCGAAGGAGCCGAAAGGAGTCCGGGCCTCCGGCCCCGCCTGCTGGCCCCCCGAGGTAGCCTCCTCCCACCCCCGGGAAGCCTCCCGGCTCTGAGCCCACGTGCTGAGTGCCGAGTATGTCACCTTCTCTGTCAAAGCCTGCGTTGAGCTCATACGGCGCATCAGCCAGGGTGAGGCGGAGGTGCTTTTCACCTGCGGGACACACAGGGTGGCTCTAGTCACACGGCCTCATGGGAGGCCCCGGGACGGCCCCCCAGGATGCTCACTCCTTTCAGTTCAAAATACATTAACCGATAGAGGGATATCAGCAAATTTCTCCCCAACATTAAACTCAGTTCCGCATGGAACGACGTCCCAGTTTATTCACTGAGATTATTCAGATGCAGGAACGGATCATAGGGTCGGAAACAGGCACCTCCCTCGAGGTTTGGAACTTAGTACCAGCGTAAAAACTGCATTAATCTGTTAAAAAGGTTAAACCTAACTGCGGTAAAGTGGAAATACAACATGAGGAATCCCTGGTTCGACAGATTCAGCTTGTAAGGAAAAAAATGAAAATTACCAAAATAAATAAGGGGGGCTGCATGAAGCACTGCTTCACTGGACTGCGCGGTGAAGACAGTGATGCTATCTCCCTGAGTGGCTTCATTGTCTCTTTGGCGTATTCAGCCCGACCGCTGCAGCCCAAGTGCGTCTCGGTGGTACGCTAAGCTGGCATCAGCCAGCGAAGGCAGATTTAACCCCGTATTCACTGACGCTGGTCATCCTCAGGAGGCTGAGACCATATTATGCAACGTGGTGCCGATACACTGACGGCGCATCTGGTTATTCTACGCTGGGAATTAAGCCTTTTCTAATTGACACCCCTCCCAAAAAAAAGGTGGCTACAAACTGGGTATGCATTCGTACTTAACCTAGCCCCTGGTATCATGTGGGAATAATTAGGCACTCTGTGTGTCTCGCAGGGTCTTGTGAGCGTGACGCGGACGTGCCGGCATGCTCACCTACAAACTTCTGGGGTGTTGACCTCTTGCGTTTGGTGATGCTGTTTGCCAGCCGGTCAATGAAGGACATCTTGTCGGAGGATGGCTGGACCAAGGAGTCAGGCATGGATTCCACGTCGTGCAAGTCGTCACCTGCACAGGAAAGGTGTCAGACAGTGTCAGCATGGAAGAAAAAAGACAATTACGCTGGAACTGTGTGGGGGTCAGGGGGCGGCGGGGCACAGTGCGGTGGAAGCACTACCCTGCACGTGGGTGCTGTGCGTGGCCTGGGCCTCCAGGCTCTGCAGGTAGCTGTGGCAGCGTTCCCGGTGCTCCTCCAGTGTGCTCTGCTGCTTGTAGCTGCGGCCGCAGTAACTGCACTTGTAGGGCTTCCCCACCACTGGAGAGGATACTGAGGAGCACAGAAAAAGTGAGGGGTTGAAATGAAGATAGAGAGATGCTGGAGGATGCTTGGCTTTCCTACTATATACGGTATTTCCAGTCTGCAAATTCGCAATTATATGATAGCCAGGTTTGTGTTGAATATCTAAAGAAGTCTGCTAATAGGCCTTACGGATGGCCCAGCTGTATGTGTACACACACACACACACACACACACCTGCCTACAATGTAACTTTTATACCCCTACTGTCACTTTGTCACCCAGCGGTACCAATAGATGCCCTGGGCTACAGCAGCATCACACCGCACTGAAATCGCGCTGCTTTCCCGCCATTTATCTAATGACGCACTGGATAGGTCACAGCGGTTTTAACATCGGCAAGTTGCCAGACAAAAGACACTATTCCTGAGAAAGGGGCGATCCGCTCTTTATCTCATTCCTTCCGATTTCCGCTGCGATGCGGATTTTCCCCGTTACGTTAACGGTTCTCCGAAACGGTCCCACGCTGCTCGCCTGTGACGTCGCGATGTGGCCCCTCCCTCTCCCCCCTGCCCTCGCCACATGCCCGCCATCCGATTCCCCCGAGCCCCCGGTGGACGGCCATCACCTTCGAAGGAATGCACTTGCACTGACAGATGATTTTTTTTCTGCTAAATTAATGAGCTTTGGCGATCTTCCTTTCTGTGAGCCATGGTAAAAGCAGTTCTCACCCTGTCTTCACCGCCACGCCATTAATTCTTGAAAATTTTGTATCTATGAATTGAAAAACATCAACAGGATTTCCTGTTTTGTTACCGTCTAAATGTCATTGAGCACTCAGTGTGCTTGGTGTGCGGTAGCTGGAGAGCGACTAGCTGACAGCTGCATGCTCTCACTGTGCAGCCCAGCCTTGCTGCTGGCATCCTCATTCCCAGGGGTGCTGTGATGAGATGCTCCAGCACCGTGGTTTCCGTTCCTAATTAATAACACGGCTGCTCGCACTACCCTTCCCAGGCGTGTCAGATAATCCCCGTCCAGTGTTAATCACGCCATCCTCCTCCATCTCCTCCTCCTCCCCGTCTTCCCCTGACTCACCGGAGTGTGTGCGGAGGTGTCCCGTCAGGGCATCCCGCCGTCGGCACGCATAGCTGCAGAAGGGACATTTGAAGGGCTTCTCACCAGAGTGCAGCTTGATGTGCCGCAGCAAGTTGCCCTTCTGGGTGAAGGAGGCACCGCACTGGTTGCACTGGAAGGGCCGCTCACCTGGCGGTATAGGCCATCACACTGGCGTTACTTGTGGCCCTCGCTCCTATCCCCCCCGTGCTTCATCACATGTCCCAGTCTGCCCCATTCACCCGTCCTCCTAAGTTGGACCCAAACGGCATGTATCCCTGACCGTCGCTTTCAACGCTTTCAACACTAAAGCTGCCTGCCGCCGGCCAGGTCACCTGTGTGGCTCCTCTTGTGCACCATAAGCACGTTGGGCCCGATGCAGATCATGCCGCAGATGTCGCACTTCAGCTTGCCGTTGGGCAGGCGGATGGCGCCCAGAGAGGCTGGCTCTGGACTGGCCAGCTCCCCGTAAGCACAGCCTGCCCCCGCAGCCGGCTCAGGGCCCCCGTCGTCCGTCCGACTGGCGCGCTCATCCTTCCAGGCCTCGTCCCGGTCACCGGGCCTCGCCGTACGCGCCGGGCGGCCCAACTCGTCGTCGCTGTACTGCTCCACCTTGATGGAGTTTGCTGGAAAGCGACAGGTGGCAGCACAGAAAACGATGTGTGTGTCAGACGTGTTCAGCTGATATGGATTATGGGGGGAGGGTCACTTACCGCTGAGGGAGCGGCTGGGAGATGTCTGCTGGCTGTCAGGGGTCCCCGCGGTTAGCACGCCTAATCCCGCAGGGAAGTCTCTCTCCGCGGATGAATCACCACTGCCTGAAAGCACCGAGGCGCCCTTCAGAGAAGCCACGTCCATATAAAAGTGACGAGCCAGACTACCCCCCCCTCCCGAAACACCCAGCGCCCACCCTTACCGGACGCGCAGGCACGGCTGCTGCAGTCCTCAGCGTCCATCGTCGTGCCGGCTGACTGCAGGACAGAGACACAAACAGAAGCACGCAGAGATGCTCAATTATCTGCATCTCCTGCAGCACTTCACATATTTCTGTTAAATTCTATACCTGAATGAGCTTCCTGTTGTAACAAAGCAGGCTGCTCTATTGATAATACTCACTCTAGAGGGCTGAACATAGTCCATGGCAGTCGATGCTCTATCTCTCGTCAGACTCAAAGCCTAAACCTGAACCTCAGTCACACCCCTACGTTCTGAACCTGTCTTCTTTCCTTCCTCCCTAAGACCAAATCACTTTTAAAGGTTTCTGTCTGATGTTTAGTCCCTCCCTTCTACATCCATACCATAACCCCTAACCATCTGAAGATGGTTCTGAAACTCTTCTGAAACTTTCTTCCTACCCACCTCCGGGCAGAAAATACTAAGATGAGGGGGGGGGGTGGGAGTTAAAAGAAAAAAAGAGGCACTATCTAGTTGGCCAAGGTTGCCTTTGAAGGTGGACCATTCATGCCCCCTTCCTGGCTGGTTTTCACCAATCAAAACTCTTTGTTATTAACTGAAATAATTGAACTTCTCCAGCAAGAAGAGAGTCCCAACCTTTTGGGGTTTTACATAATAATTTCCTGTTTGTCAACACCTCCCCACGTCAATTTTCATGAGCACTCTTCCAATTTACCCCCATACATTCCTCTCACATTGAAAATAAACTAGCTTAACTAGCATCATGTGGGAGAACTGAGAACCAGTAGGAGCCAAGCGATCCTTACCACTGCACCACTGGTAACCCAGTTGTCTCACAGTGGCCTGACAGCCCAATGAAGCCGCATATCCAGAGCATTTTCTTTTACTGCTAGAGGCCTGATGCTGCTAATGGACAAACACCAGAGCTCAGCTTCAAAAAAATATCTAGGGTTTCAAAGTGTATATGAAGGGAGAGCCCCGCCGAATGCTGAAGCTCTCGGAAGCTCCCTGCTCAGCTAGCCAACGCAGAGACTGAACAGAAACGGGAAATACAGCAGACTGGGGGGAAAGGGGGAGCTCAGGCGGCTATAGAATAGGAAAAAAAGAGGCAGAGGTTGTGAAACCAATGAGATAGCAACTATGAAGAAAGGAGGCACAAAGACTGTTTCCATGTTTGAGGGTACTCCCTTTCAGAAAGACAGTCATTCAGGGGGCTGGAAACTCTGAGGCAAACATCCCTCTCCACCCCCCTAGATGGGGGCAGTGAGCAGAAACAAGGCCAAGTACAACCACAGCCCTCCTCTGTGGGAAAACACCCCCACTGAGTTGAAGGCATCACAGGAGGAACATTCTGAAGCGTACACTACACTACAGTAATGGTGCAATGGTTATCTGTCATTGTTCTGCCTCAGTGTGTCCGAGTGTGAATCTGATTCACTGTGTATCAGCAACAGGAACTGTTTATGCAGCCTATAAACTATACATACAAGGATTAGCCAGTCATGGTTGGTATTTTCTTGAAGAAGAACATTCAGTAGAAAGCCAATGATGCATTAATGCTGAAACATATAAGACTATACAGGAAAAGTCATACCCTGCACTCTTGAATACTTTTGACTCTTTGCACAGTCAAGGAGCGGCTCAGGTTACATTTCACTGTGTGTTGTACTTGTATGACTACGCATGTGACAAATAAAGATCTTGAATCTCTCTTGAATCTCTGCAATAAATAGTGACAATCATGGCAATTACTCGTCTATTACTGGAGGTAATGTTACACGAGTAACTGTAAATTTAAAATGTGATGTATGCAGAGTGACAAAAAGGGCCATGAAACTCAGCACAGATTTGGGTCCAATAAAATAAAGGCACATCTACAGTCTCACTCTAGGAGCCATGGTGTTTATGTACAGTACTGAACTGATGTCCCTTTGATATTGATCTATGTATAAATGAGCATGCTGGAGTTGTTTATATCTATATCCCATTGTGCTTCCCTAGGCTGTCAATGGTCATGCCATAGAATTTTATAAATGACAGTTCAACTAAGCTAGTCAGAGTAATCACGTCTGTGAAGAGGTGCTGACCTCCAGATGATTAAAATAAACAGAACAGCTGTATGCCAACCTCCGTTTGCCAACAGTGTTTTTGGATACGACAGTATTGTGGATTGCGTAACACAAGATTTTCAGAGCTAGATTTCTGTTTAAAGAAATACAAATTAATTACAATTACAAACTACGAACGGAGCGGGGCGGGGGAGGCTAAATCATGCAACCCAACTGAAGGAGGAGACTTCGGCATCTGCTAAATGCAGACACCGCTGCTTAAACACCGGACCCCCGACACCCCGAAGTAGAAAACAAAAGCATGACAGGTCCGTGACATCGAGCCGCATCACTATTGACCGTCCTAACTGAGCGAAGCGGGTTACAGGGGTGTTCCCAGGGCCTTATAGTGAAACGCTGCCGTCTGTCATCGAGTGCATAACGTTTCTTTAGCGCCGTTGCTATGGCAGCCCGTCTAGCCAGAGCCGCTGGCTAATGTCGTCGGCTGCGATACACTGACACT